TTTTTTTGCTAGTTCTTCAAATGTTCAATAAAAACATGTATGCTAATTCATAACGAAGAAAGCTTTGTAATGAAGACTGTCATTTCAAAAACACTGCCCGCCCCCACCCCGTGGTCCGCAGCGCTGTTGAAAAGGCTGTGGAAGTCCCTGTATTAAACACGTAGACCTCTGACACAAAAATCACCAAACTCGGACGACCACAGACTGTTTTCCTTCGTGGTGATGAAGGAAAACGCTGGGTTGGCATGTAAAAGGGCATTTATTCCCTTCAAAGACCTGCAGTTCAAAAAAAGCGCCCCTCGACAGCCAAACCCATTTGTTCTCTGATTGGATTGTTACATTTGTGATTGACATGACATTGACCAATCAGATGAAGGGAAGAAAAATAGGGTCAAAAATCCGTACTTTTTCTAAGTCCATACACAAATCTTTTTTACGCACACACAAATCTTTTTTGCACACACAAATCTTTTTTACACATACAAATCTTTTTTACGCACACACAAATCTTTTTTACACATACAAATCTTTTTTACAAGTACAAAATATTTATGACCACATTTTGAGCCCATATGTGTGAGAAAGAATTTTTTCACAAACACCGAGTCAGGAACAACATTTAGACACACATTACCTTTCTGCAGTAGCAGGACCTTGTCCTCTGTCAAAATTTATAAGGTCTTGTAATGACTTGGTGCGCTTTAAGGACGCAGTCCTATTTTCAGTTACAGGACACATCCTGACAGAAAGAAAAACAAAAACACACTTTCATTAATGTTTTTGGAAAAAAAAAATCATTTTAAAATGTAAATATTTTAATAAAACTGAAGGAATAAGGGGGGGAAACCCATATAAAGAAGTCATTCACACGATGGACCACATTACATCAGAAATAACAAATGATCCACAACTGAAACTATCCTCTGTAGAAAAAATGAGTATAACCTCTGAACACTGTCAGGTTTACCATTATTTTATTCAGTTACAGCATCTTTTTGACCTTTGTCAGGCACAGAGAAACTTTGTAATGGTAAAAAATAATGATAAATGTGCATAGGTTATACTCTTATTTTGAAAAAGGTTTTATTTCCCTCTATGCACCTGTAGATGATTCAGGTGTGGAGAGTTTTCATATATTTGAAATTTAGATTTATCCTCTACAACAGTGGTTCTCAAACTTTTCACAATGAGTACCACCTCATAAACTGTCTCTTGAAGTACCACCCTTATGACTGACATTAAAGTACAGTAGTACACCACATATAGTTTACACAGACAATTTTATTTCTTATATGAATGTTATTTATTTTAACTGTCATAAATAGGATGTGATAATAATAGCAACTGTACTGCATTAAAACATTCGCAGCAGGTGGGATATACAGTCTTTAAGAGATGACATTTGCATTTGTCCCTAACCTTCGGGAACCCTCACGTTAACTTTTATCAAGTGGAAAAAAGTTAGCGTTCATCCTCCAGCTTCACTGTTTATATTATGCAAACCATAGCTGTATAGCTAGCCACTTTATTATATACCAGCTAGCCCAACTTCAGTAACCACACAAACACCACTGCTGTTTAGTCTTCTGTCTTCATTTATGTCAGAAGTGATAGCAGAGGTGTAGGTTTTACCTTTTGCTGTGGCGGGTAAGTGCTGGATTTTTGACTTCACGACCCTCCTTCGTGGTTCATGCACGTCAAAAATCAGTTTGCTCTTCATGGCGTTTCAGCCCACAACACAAAATACCATCATGTGGGCCTTGCATGGGATCCCCCCACCCAAGGGAAATACACCGTTCTCAAGGCGCTGCTGCTCGGCACTACTCCCTCTCTGACGCAGAGTGGGCCGAGAAACCCCTCTCTCTCTCTGGCCTGGGTGATGGTACCGCTCTCAAGCTCATGGAGAGCACGCTGTTCTTGCTAGTAACGGATGACGGCGGATTCCTCTTCACGCACGTCTTCCTCCGACAGTTGCCGGCACCAGTGCGAGCTGGCCCCCACTGATTCTCCCGGGGGCCTCCAACTCATCGATTGTGGGTGGGATTGCGGCACCATGGAAAAGGCTGTGTTTTTACCATCAGCGTGACAGGGCCGTGCCACCTTTGCTGTTTTAAGGCCCAGGGAAACGAGCCCACCAGCGCTCTGTAGCGGCTGCAACCGCTGGCGATAAGGAAAGGCTGCTCTTCATAGAGGGCTCACGCTGGGGGAGACGTTTTCTGGTTGACTCTGGCTCCCAGAAAAGCCTTGAGAACTCTCACGCCATCTTTTCATACCTCTACAATGGTATGTTATTTAATCTTTAAAAAAATGGAGATTTCCCACATACCACCAGAGAGAACCCAAGTACCACTAGTGGTATGCATACCACTACAGTTTGAGAAAGACTGGTCTAAGGAGCTTGGAAAGAAAAGCATCTGGACTTCTTTCAGTTGCTTGAAGACATTTCACCTCTCCTCCGAGAAGCTTCTTCAGTTCTAAGGTCAAATGGTGGAGAGTCCCAGAGTTAAGTCCTAGGGAAGTGTCCACCAAGAGGGACATGGATGGACCCCCTGTTGATCCTCTACCTAATCAAACAAGCCAGGGTGTAAAAACGGGTGTAGGTAACAATCAGCCAAGGTTTTGGGTGAACCCGCTGTGAAACCTAGCCCCACCCTATCATGTGATTTCCTGAGGTCAAATGGCCCAGGATGTGAGTGGGTGTTAAGGCTTCTGGGAAAAGATCTCAAAACTGGATTATAGATGGCAGACGGTTGGTGTCGTAAACCACCACCTCCGTTCAAAGATGGTTGTTCACAGTGGACATAGATGGCTTCTTCCCCTCATCTTTCAAACCATCTGTCTTCTCTGTATAAAATGTGAACATTATTGCTTGCCTTCAACAACTTGAAAAGGACAAAATCATTGACCACCCTACATATCATCATCTATACCCAGGGGATGCTATACCTTGTATTTACGAACTTCCAAATATCTACAAAGAAGGGGTCCCACTCAGGCTCATTGTTAGCAGCTTAAACTGATATCTCTGTAACCCTTTCAGACTGGGTTATGAGACATTTGAGATTACTTCAATCTGTCAGAAAGATTTATTTTAAGTGATTTCTTCATTCAGGAGGTCTGAGATTAGGCCTGAGTGTGGCTAGAGAAATTGAACTCAACTTTCCAACAAATGTGGTTAATCATAGTTTATTCATGATTAAACAACTTTTTCACACAGGTTTGGATGGCTTACCTGGCTCCTGGGTAAAAGTTTCCATGGTCCAAAAGAAGAGCATGCCCCTGAGATTTGGGATGATGGAGTTTCTAACAGGAAGAACAGCCTGACAACATCTGGAAAAACACAAAGAAAACCAATGATTTTAGATCAGGATTACTAACACCTGATGAAGCTGACCGTTTCTGTCTCACCTAATACAGTCAGGTTCTGAGCATCACGTAACCCACAAAGCAACAAAGCTATGATTCATTGATCTGAGTGATGCAAAGCTTTTTTTTTTTCTTTTTTTTTGTTATTCATTCTGGGAACAGAAACCTTTGTCCAGAAGGAAGAGGGAAGGAGGAACAAACTGCAAAAGTATGTTGAGTCATCAAGAAACATTGAAGCAGTTAACTGCTGTATGTGTCTGCTGTAATGTGGTGATGGTTCAGCACTGATAAACCAATCAGCTGTTAGATCGCTTCATTTCCTGACAAATGTCCAAGACACCAAGGAAAATCATAGAAGAGATTCAACATAAGCTCGATAATATGAAACCAACATGATGTTATCAATGTGGAAACGAGAAAGATGTCTCAAACATGAAAGGCACTGGTTCCCTTTGAAGCACACAACTTTGGCTTTGAATCAAAAACTGTTGCCACATATTTAAACTCTGAGCACATTCTGACTTAAATGGATATGACCTGATGAGTACATGTTCTAAACTCAATGCTCATTTCTTTTGTATTAGATATGTTTTAGCCGGTCCTGTCTGGCTCTGCAATCTGAATTATGATCTGAATGCACCGTTGTGCCAAACAGATTTGCTTTTCCAAGACAAGCTCTAGAAAGTCTGTACAGACTCCTCTTGTTTGTATGGTTTTTAATATAATGTATTAATTTCTATTATTACTCACAGTATATATGTAATATAACAATGTCAAAGCTGACAGACAGAAAAGAGAAACAAAGACAATAGAGAATATAAAAAAGGATAGACCACAAATAGAAAAGCACAACTGCACCTGTAACTCAAATTATTTTTAATTTTCAAATCTGCAGCACAGTTACAGTTAGGGCTGCCACAAACGATTATTTTGATAGTCGACTAGTCACCGATTATTTTTGCGATTAGTCGACTAATCAGATCATGCATCCATTGGACGTAAAACGTACAGCTTATTGCACCAGAACGCATCTGACTCAAGAATTTGTGGACTGGTGCCAGCAGAACTACCTCCAGATCAACGCCAGTAAAACCAAGGAACTGGTGGTAGACTTTCGCAGGCACAAGCATTCTCCACTGCAACCACTGAACATCCAAGGTATGGACATTGAGGCTGTGGACAGCTACAGGTACCTTGGTGTTCATCTGAACAA